GCTTTTATTTCTACGTGGGGCTGAGGATTGAACCCGGGTCCCGCCCGTGCTAGGGGAGTGCTCTACCTCTGAGCCACAATCCCAGCCCTGTTTTGTATTTTTATTAAAGAAGGGTTTCACTGAGTTGCTTAGTGCCTCGCTGAGGCTGGCTTTGAACTGGCTATCCTCCTGTCTCAGCCTCTGGAGCCGCTGGGATTACAGGCATGCGCCACCGCGCCTGGCAAAAATATTTTTCTCTGTTTGTTCCCACATAGAAACTCTTAAGATTGTTTAAGAAACATGGGTTTTAATTAGCCTTCAGTTATGCAAAGTTACCTCTTCCATATTCTAGCAGCTAATGGCATTCCTTGGCTTGTGACCACATCTCTTTTTTCTGCCTGTACACTTCACCAATTGACATTTGGGGGCCCACTTATGTTACAGTGGGGTTTTAGCATGTTCCTGAAGTTTTACTGGTCGCAGTAGTAGCAATGGAGGTGGAAGCCATGGGAGCCCAGCCTTGTATGAGATGGCCTTGAAGTGGTCTGGTCTTCCTCACCCCCATAGCCACTCGCTGTTCCTGATAATCCACTGGAGTCCATCCTCCACACAAGATTCAAAGGGAGATTTTATTTTTTATGTTCATTTTTTGGTACTGGGAATTCAACCCAGTGGTGCTTAACTTCTGAGCCACATCTCCAGCCCTTTTAATTTTTTAATTTTAAAGAAGGGTCTTGCTAAGTTTCTGAGGGCCTCGTTAAGTTGCTGAGGCTGGCTTGGAACTTGCAATCTTCCTGCCTCAGCCTTTGGAGCCACTGGGATATAGGAGTGTGCCATCGAGCCTGGCTGGATGGGGCTTTTAAAGATGTGAATTTGATCATGTTATTCCTATACCTAAAACTCTTTATTCCTTCCTTTTTTTTTTTTTTTAATACCATCAAGGCCCATGGTCTGCCTCTTTCTTGAAACCCCACCCACCACAGCTCCAGCCATGGAGGGTCTTTCTTGCCTCTGGGTCTGATGCTACCCTTTCTCCTTGTATGACTGGCTCCTGATCTTCCTCTGAATCTTAAATGTCATCTCCTTAGACAGGTCCCCCTGATCCACTAATCAATCATAATCCTCCTGTTATCCTATTTATGCTGCCTACATCCTTTTATTCTCAGCGCCTCTCACAAGCTGATTGAATATGGGTGTGTGTATGATATTATGGAACTACTCTCCTGGACAAAAGGCCCACTATAGGCAGGAACGTACCTGTTTTGTTCACTATTCTATTAGCCTAGCCTCTTCCAGTGCCTGCCATAAGCAGATGCACACATATAAAATATTGTTGAAAAATAACTTATGCAACTTTTTCTTTTTTTTTTTGAGATGGGGTCTTGCTATGTTGTCTAGGCTATGTTGCTAAGTTGTCTTCAACTTCTGGGCTCAACTGATTCTCCCATCTTAATATCCTGAATGCTGGAACTACAGGCATGTGCCACCATGTCTGCAACAAATTTTTATGATTTTTTTTTTCTGTTATTGATCCACACTACCATTTCATTCATTCTGTGTCTACTGACAGAGCATCTACTATGAGCCAGGAGCTGTATTTGGTGCTGGGAATGCAGCAATGAAGTAAGTAGACAAAAATCCCAGACCACAGGATGCTTTTTTGCTGGTGACTCAGGTATCTTTGATGTATGTCTCATCTTAGTTCCGCCCCCCCTTTTTTTTTTTTTGTTCAGCAACCAGTTGAGACAGGAGTTGGTGGGTAAATAAATACTCCATATTCAGTTTTGCATTCTCCCCAGTTCCTCAGAATTCTAAGTCCATGGGACTAAGTCCCAGTTGCTCAAAGAGTTTATATACTCTAGAATAGGCTTTCTCTCTTTCACTATTTCATCCTTTCTGCATCAAATTCCCTTTTCCACCCCTATTCCATGGGCTCACTTCTCATAAGAAACTTCTTGTCTGTAAGTCCTTTTCCAGTATTGCTTTGGGGGGAACCCAAGGTATCTCTTTTTGTTGAGTCATTTTCTTCATTTTCACCTTGGGTCCCTGGTTGCATTTCAGGTTCCTAAATGGCACAATCAGATATACTTTGTGTGTCTTCCCACGGTTACTAACTCAGAGCCTGGCAAATATCAATAAATGTATGTTGATTTTTTATTTGATTCAACAAAAGAATACAGTGGCTATCAGTGGCTCAAGAGAAGCCTGTCATTTCTGGTGCAGAGACCTCTGCCTGATGTTGCATAAAGCCAGGACATGCCAAGGAAATTACTGTTTTCTCTTTGATGTAGCCATCCTGCTTCCTTCCTGGGATGTGTTCCCTGTACCTTGCCTTCCAGCAGCAGCAGGTTAGCAGACGCTCCAACTAGCTCTTGAGCTTGGGCAGATTTAGAGCTGGGCCACTCACTTAAGAGGGTTCTGCCTGCCACCTGCTTCCTCCCAGCTGGGGTGAGAGAGAGGGAAACTAGCCCCTCCTCTTCAGGGGTAGGATCTACATATCCTTCAGTTGGTGATAGAAGCCAGATGTCAGAACCCTGTGCTGGAACAAGGCCACTGTCAGGCACTCAAATGAATTGAAAGACTTCAACATTCTGTACCAACCTTGACTGAATGCATATATAGGAAGTGACAGGCAGCTGGTGAAGGTGCAAAGAGCATAGAACAAGAGTTGTAGTTTGGGTTTACCACTAATTTTATTCTTGTGTGGTCATGTACCACTTTTCTGCCCACAGTTTCCTAAAAATGAGAAGGTTGAATGAGATGGTCTCAAAAGACATCCCTGGCTTTAGTATTCTTAAATTATGGAACTGGAAGGAATCTGATCTGTCAGTGTATTTCAGATAGTCTATTTTCTACTCATTAACACCTTCTCTGTTGGTTACAACATCATGTCTATTCTAATCCCACTATGAGACTGACAGCTCTAGCCTATTTACTCTTGTACATTCTCAGGCAGTCACACCTGTTTACATACAAACTTAGCACATTTTTGATGATATTTTGTAACTGAAATTTTCTCAAGATAATTGTAGATCCACATTCAGTTGTTAGAAAAAATACTTTGCTTAGTGTTGTTTCCTCCAGTGATTATATTTTGCAAAACCTTAGTATGATGTCACAATTAGTATGTTGATAAAACTCACCTTTTTAATTCAGATTTCTCCAGTTTTATTTGTAATCATATGTGTCCAAGTTCTACACAATTTTATCACTTCACCATAATCAAGAAACTTAGTTCCAAAGTCCCACGATCCCTTTTATAACCACACCTACCTTTTTCTTACCTAATTTCAGCCCCCACTCGATTTTTTTTCAAAATGGTTTAGAAACGAACTTGAACTTACAGAAATGTGTCAATGCACCCTGTATCCAGAGCACCGATAAAAGTTTGCCTATTTGCTTTATCACCTTTTGCTCTCAAGATGTCTTTTCTCCTATAATGATGTAAGCTAAGTTGCTTGCATCATGATCCTTCACCCCTTAATGATACTTCGGTGTGTATTTCCTAAGAATAGAGACATTTTTGTATATAAATGCAGTATAAGATATCAACGTTAGTAAATTTAACATTGATCCAATACCTCAGTCTACCATATGGATTTCTATTTTATCAATTGGAATGTCCCTTATAACACTTCCTCCTGCCCCATTCAGGATCTAGTGCAGGTAACACATTTAGTTGTTAGACTCTGGCACTTTTAAAATCTGAAACACTTCTCAAGATTTCTTTTGTCTTTCATGACACTGAAGAATACGGCCCCCACCCCCTTTTAGTAGATGTTCCTCATTTTAGGTTTTTCTGAGGTTTCATCATCATTGGATTCAGGCTATGCATTCTCCTGAGTATACTGCAGAAGTGATGTGTCCCAACGACATGATACCCATCTGCTATCATTGGTAACGTTAACCTTGAATTGCCCAGTCAAGATGTTGTCCACCTGCGCTTTTGCATAGTTACTATTTCCCCTTTGCTACTAATAAGCAAGTCGACAGGTTCCAGGCAAAAATCTAGTTCTCAATAACATTCTCCTTAGAGTTAGTATCTATTAAGATCCCCACAATCAATTTTTACTATTTACTTGATCTCAGATCTTTTTCCAGTATGGGAAATTAAGTTTTGTAGGGTTTAGTTTCCTTGCGTCTTAGGCTCTTGTCTGAGTCCTCTCCAAGTCCTCCCAATGTCCTGTATATTCTCTGAGCAGAGATGAGGCTGGAGACTTAGACTAGGCAGCCTCAACTGGAAATGATCTAATGTGGGCTGTTCCCATTAAACCGTCCACAAGTGATTTGCATAAGAGTGTGGCCTGGGAGCGCTCACTTCCTGGACCGTTTCCTGAGCTCCCCTCCTCTGCCCAACCCCACCTTTACCCTTACTCTTTGGTAGCATCTTGTTCAGATTGCCGGGCCGCATTCTCCGTCTCCCGGGTCAGTACTCCCAAGGTGTAAGCCTGACAGTTGCGTTCCCTGGGGACGGCCGACCCTACAGAAACCCAGCGTCCGGATTTCCACTGCATTCACTACATACACCCCGAACGCGGGACAGGTCGCCGGAGTCCCATTCTTTGCTTTGACTCTTAGATCGACACCGAGAAGTGCCAGAAGTAAATAAATGCTCAGGAGAGATGCGATAAGCTTTTCTCGACCCAGATATTTCCAGGACAGTTCTACGTGCCCGGCGGCGCCGGTAAAAAGCACCTGGGTGGCAGAGGGCTGCCTGGAGAGGCGGAAGGGGAGCGGCTGCGCGCGGCTCAGACGCGCCCGGGGCATCCTGGAGGGCCGCCCGCAGGTGGCGGCGCGGGGCGGGCGGGGCCGGGGGAAGGGAGGGCTCGGCGCGTCGGGCGGTGACGGCAGCGCGGAGGGGAGGTGCGAGCCGCCGGCCGCGGGGAGCCATGGCGAGAGGCCGCGCCGCGGCGCCCGCTTCAGTGCCCGAGTCCGCAGCAGCGCCCCCGGCCGCCGCCCCCGGACCCACCCGGCCGCCGCCCCGGCGCACCCCGAGCCCGTGACACTTGCGCGCCGGGAGCGAGGCGCCCCGGGAGAGGGCCCTCGCGCGGGAGGGTGGCGCGGGGGACTCAAGTGCATCCCTAACGCGCCGGGGAGTCTCAAGCACCCCTTCGACCCCCAAGTCCCGGATCCCCAGCCCAGGAGCGCCAGGTCGGCGAGCGATCGACCGGAGGAGGCGGCGCCGAAGCCGAGCTCCGCCGCCGGTGTCCTGGTGCCGCCCGGCCGGCTGCAGCGGAGGGGACCGGAGCCGCCGGGCGGCCGGGCCGGACCGAACACCACGCGGAGGCAGCGGCTGGGAGAGCCCGGCGCTGGGATAGCCCGCTTCAGAGGCCCCGGGACCTTGTCTGCTTCGGGGCCGCGTTCCGGGCGCTTCTTGTGGGTAAGCCCGGGGTCTGGAGACCGGTGCTTCAGGCGCATCTAGCGCGGGGTGGGGAAGGACGCGGGTGTTCCGAAAGTGGCTGCGGGAGAGGCTGGGCCCGGGCCCCTGCGGGTACGACCCTTTGCATTGGCCGCACCTGTCGAAGGTCCTTGGGGGCCAAAAAGGTACCCCTAGGGTATCGTGTCGTCCACGACGCGTGGCCTGGATTCCGGACGCTGGCACTCTCGAGGTGACAGTGAGGCGACCTTCAAAGAGCCCAGGGCTGAGCCAGGCCAGAGCGCGGCAGCACCCCGATTCCACTCAGAAGCGTAACTTAATGCAAATTACATCTGAACATGTCAGGGACCAGACATATGGCCTTATAGGGTCCCCCTAGATATCCTGAGAACTAACAAGTTCACTTTGTCACTTTTTTGACCCGAGTTTTAAAATTCTTTCTAACCTCCAAGGTCAGCCTTTTGCAGGTGAAAACAGATTTAGTGAAATGAATTGTTTATTTTTATTTTTTGGTGAAGTTGTGTTTAGGGAAGCTTTCAAAGTTAGGCAACCAGGAACTGGATGACCTATCCCTTAAACCTTCCTGTTTGAGAACACTGTCGCTGCACTTGCTCAGACGCAAATTAGCGTCCACTTTGAGAGCCTGCAAAAGATGAGTGTTTAGGCCTCTGATTTTTATTTTTTTCTGATGTGTTTCACCAGAACTTTGTTTGCTTCAGTGGAATGTGTAAACCTTATCAATACTGCCTGCAGAGTGTAGCCAGGACTGGTACCCTTTTCTGCAGGGTCTTTTGGTGGTCTGGGGCTGAGTCTGAGCAGACACTATAAGGAAACAAAGTAGTTCCAGTATTCTTTCTGATTTCCAACCACCAGAGCAGCAAGAGGGAGATGGCCAGACTGCATGCACTGGCTGATCAGCCCTGCTGTGGGTCTGCAGGGGAGAGGATTTCCCAAGACAGGGAGCTTAACTAGGAGGTTTTCGGAGAGGTAGACCTAGGGTGACAGATGGCTGTTTCCCTCTTAGGTCATGTTTTAGTGCTCTTTGATCTCTGACTCCAGCTTTATCACAGAGGAGCCCAGACAAGTGTAGAGCCCCTGGGGAGCTGAGTTGGCTCTGGGTGATGCTGAGCTGGGTTAGAAAGCCCAAGTCTGGGTGCAGGGGGTTTGGCAAGAGCTGAGTTTCAGCTTGGCCCCAGCACCAGAGTTGTTTCCTGTTTGATGCTCCAGGGACCTGTGGGATTCAGTTTCCCATGGAGAGCTCAGCTCTCCATGGAGGGTGTCTCCATTCTAGCTCTTGCTTTTGCTCCTCACTCCGGTGAGTTAAGGACACTGGCCTTGGAGTGGGATTCAAATTCTAGCTCCTTGATCTTGCTGTCCTTACTGGGTATGTGATATTGGGCCCTAACTTAATATCTCTAGCTTGGCTCTTTACCCTTCTGGATTGCCCCTTCCTTACTAGCCCCATGTTCTTCCCTCAACCCCCAACAAACCAAATTGAAGTGTTGTAAGGATTAAGGAGACAGTGTTTTAAATCAAAGTATCCATAAAAATTTGACTGAATGACCTGGGAGGGTTTTTGAGTCTCATTCTGACTGGACTATGTGACTTAATAATCTTCTCTGAGTACCAGTAGGTATAATAAAGCAGGTGTTAGAGTAATTATTACCTTTTTTTTCTTTTTAGGTTTGTGTGTGTGTGTGTGTGTGTGTGTGTCAAATCAGATAACGCAAGAGGGCTTTGAAAATAATAGAGCATCATTCACATTGAAAGGAGATCTAAACTTTCAGTTTCCAAATAACTGCCCCGCATGGTTTGTCATCTAACACTGCCTTTGTTCCTGTCATTGCATTTGGAGGCCCTGCCCCTGGCTTTGCATGCAGTAGGCCTCTGTGATTATTTGATCATTCCTGGATTAGCCATCTGGGCTCCCCATCTTCATGGGGACTTCATGCTCCCAAGGTGAAGCATGAATCTTGGGTTCCTCTGCTTCATCCACTGTGGATGACATAATTGTTCTGTTGCCTCATAAAGTGCACGAGAGAGCTGGGGAGAGTGAGCAGGCAGGTGGCCACTTTTCTTCTGTAGGGCTCACATGAGGAAGGCATTGGGTGGCGAACAGTTTACTTAAACTCACTGCAGGTTGCACATACTCACTCATGCCTTTTGTGCACACTGCATTTTAACACTAGATGGTTGGGAGGTTTGATAAACTTGAAGTTAATGTCATAATGATCAGTCTCTTCAATAGATGATTCTGTGACCCTTGTGTTAGAAAATGGAAACTGGGTATTCATTTATATCCAGTATGCACTGTGACTTTTGTGAGGGAAGACAAAATCATGCTTCTTTTTAAAGATGGAGATGGTAGGGGGAACTGTCTTCATATGAAGAGACATGTGGGTTCTTAGACTTTATAGTCTTAGATTAGTGTCTGTCACACATAGATACACTGTCAACGGGCTCCTTCTCCTTTTCTCCTTCTTTCTGAACAATGATCCCTATTCTGACCTGCCTTCTTATTAGGTGTATCCAAATGGAGGCCACTTTCAGTATTGAAAAGTTCAAAATCTTAGTGAACAGACCGTACTTAATAGCATGTATATACATCTGGATGTCTCTGAGGTATGATGTGCAGCTTCTTAAAGAAAGGCTTTTGTTTTATAAAGGGCTGCGTGGCATTATTCATTGGGAAGCCCTGCTCCTTATGTGATTGTTAGTGTACCTGAGTGGAAGAGAGTGAAAGGGAGGGGGACTCTTAAATCCTTGTTTAGGTTCTGGTTTAGCATTCTAGGAAGGACTGCTCCCACCCTCAACCTGTTTGGTGATCAGAGTTTTTCTAAGAAGCAATGGACATCCATTTGATAAAGACTGACAAATGGCAGTGACTTCTCAGGTGGCCACTAACATCCTTGGGAGAGTTCTTGGTCTCAGGGTGTGAGGCTGTGAAATGGATTATGTTGATGCTTCTTGAATTTGTCCCTATTACCTTCAGGGCAATGGAAACCTGAAAAGGGAATTTTGAGAGCTTAGCCTGGGGTTTCTAACACTTTTCAGTGTTAACTGAATAGTTCCTTTGAAGAATAGAATGAAGGCTTCTTATTCATTCATTCATTCATTCATTCATTCATTCATTTATTGAGACAGGGTCTTATTATGTTGCTCAGGGGCTCCTCCTGCCTCAGCCTCCTGAGTGCTGGGACTAAGGTATATACTACCATCATACCCAGCTTGGATATATCTTGTTTTAATATGAAAATATTTTCAGAGTCAAAAAGCACTTGAAGATGCACCTTGTCTTCTTGAGGTCCTGAGAGAGTCCCTCAGCTTGAGTCTGTGCACCCTAGTTTGGGAATCCTGGAGCTCAATTTCTAGGGTCTCTTCTAGTTCCAGAATGTATTAGGACATTCAAAAGCAGAAGGCAATCTACTCAGAGGAATTGGATTTTGTACAAATATCTGAAAAGGATGCTCCAACATTGAGGGGAAATAGGTCTAGTAGTAAATTTAAAAACTGCCAGAATATAAATTGCCTGGATTTCAATGTTAAGTAAGATTATGCTAGGGGTATTCAGGGGACTTTAGAATCTTTCTTTAGAAAAAAATTATTTGAAAATAACCATGAAAACGTGGATTAAATGGTTTGACATTTTCAGAATAGCATCTCTTTAGCTTACCTTTCAAAGCACTTCATTCTTATTGCATTCCTTAATGACTAGACTTCTTTACTAGATAGCTGCTTATGTTGATTAAAAAATGCCACTGTCTCCTGACTTATGTTCACACAGATTAGCAGTTAGGAAATCCTACATTGAGTTACAATGCCACAGGCTTATTTGTGTCTCTTAAAATGGATATTAGCTAGGGATATGGGATTTTATTTTTTCTTTCTTTCTTCTTTCTCTGGGTTTTGAGAGAAAAAGCACGAATACATATGGAGAACTGTAGATTTTTAGAAGTTCTCCACTGGTTCTTTTGGTGGTTTGGTAAAAATCAATCAGTCCTTGCCAGTGGTTCTTTAATGTCAACAACACACACACTGAGTCTGAATTTTTCAATGGTAACTTAAGTTTTGCAAAAAAAAAAAACTAGAATAGATATGACCTTGTGTAGACTTGCCTCCTTTTATTGTGGGTCATTATCAAATAATTTCTCATTTTGAATGTGACCAAAGATAAAATGTCTCCCTAGAATGTAGGAGACATCACCTGTCTTATGGAATCATGAATTTGGACCTTGAGGAGCAAGTGAGCAATAAATGTAGAAACCATCCTTGAATTTGAGGACCACTGGGAAACTTTTGGGGAGTGGGGAGGACAATTTCCTTTGATCTCCAGGAGCATCGACTGAGGATCTGTGTGATGAATGACCACAAGACAGCTAATCTGTTTGTGCCAAAACTTCATGGTGGAATCAAGTGTCTGTGTTCTGGGGAGAACAGCAGTGGAAGACTACAGTATTTATGGGGTGGGGGGGGTACCTTGACCTTTGCTGTTTCTGCATGACTTTTGGTTCCCTTTGTCCTGGGTCAAGCTGATTGCAGCTACTCAAAGCAGGGATAGTGGGCCAGCTGCAACAGCATGACCTGGAAACTTCTTAGGCCTGCAGAATCTCAGGCCCCCACACCTGCTAAATCTGAGTCTACACTTTAAACGTGTCCTCAGGTGGGATGCTTCTTTGTGTGTACAGAGATGCGTTCTTTTCAAAGCCACTTTGCAGATGTTGGGAAGAGCAAGTGGCAGCACACACATGCTCCCTTTCCTGCTTGAGAGAGCTGGTTCTGGGTGTTTCATTCAGCCTCCTGTCCTGCAATGAAAGGAAAGGGATTAGGGCTTCTTAGAAAAGATTGCTGAACCCATTCTCTCCCCATCCCCTCTCCTTTAATTCTGTGCAGTGAACTGTAAAGTGGGAGGATCTAAGAGGGAAGGGATACGCTGTCATTCAGTCGGGAGGAAAACAGTCTCCACCATCAGCTGTACACCCTCCCCTCCCTCAACACACACCCAA